CATAAACTCAAACGCTACTTGCGACATTTTATGTCCATAATTATACGCGAGCCATACTGTTGTTCCATGATAAAAGGTGAGTGGCTAGGGAGTAAAGAACCCGACTAAGAGTAATTGAAGAAAACAGCAGCGATACATTTTTTATTAATAATCTGAACAAAGCGAGCATCTGCTTAAGAGAGGGAAAAATGTGCACGTATTCGAGTACTTCAGCGTAGGCTTTAACATGTAGAAGTTACACCGTGAAGAATAAACGTGATCAGTCTGTGTGGCAAAGTAATGAACTGTCAATAATGTTCCGAAAATACAATCAGCCGGTTCACTCAGGCTATAAAAATTTTTGAAAAGGTTTTATCAACTTATTGTTTTAATAAATCATCTGTGAAACAAGCAGAAGATAAATTATCACATTTTATGGGTTTGATTTGATATTCACATATACATATGTAATTTCGAAAATTTTCAGAGTTTCTTGGCTCAATCTATCAGTTCGAATACTCACATTTTACTGTACATAAACTATCCCTGCATTAAATCTTTTGATCGCATTTCGCGCACTCTCTGTAGAATTCCAATTGACGCATGGAATTAGTTGACTGATATCCGAAGCTGCTGGCTAGACATCTAAAACCTGTCGACCGCAAGCCTTATACACATCATCGTGTGGATAATATTCAGAATGCTGAAAGTACTCAAGAAAATACTTAGCAAGGGTATTTGAAAGAAACCAGTTTTTGATCCGCCACAGAATTTACATAAGATGAAATCTCGGTTGGATGCCCAGAGATTGAGTAGGAGGCAAGCTCTCAAGAGCTTAATCAATAAAGCGATGCTGATCCAACAACTCAAGCTTCGTTACCAGCGATTAACATGCACATTCATAATAGCGCCAAATCGCGATAATATAATATAGTAATATGGCACGATTACTCATGTGATCGTTGAATGTCAAGGTGTAGTGATGCTCAAGGATTTACTTGTTCGTCGGAAAAACAATACGGTTAACGACAATCAATGTCAGATTACGAGTTTTCATATTATTACAGAGCGATCTAATTCTGAACTCGCCTTCGTTAGTTTTTATGGATGACTTGGAAGTTAAGCATGTGCAATATGTGCATCGTGTTGTCTAGGGATTTCTGGTCACACCACGCAACCACAGATGTGCTTCAAAACGGTTCTTGAAGTCAATCGACTGTTCTCGAAACCAGCACAAACCAATGTTTTATAGACTAGATTGACATCGTCAAGTCTCCGTCCTTTAACTGAAACCTGTGTGCAGAAGCATTATTGGTCAGGCCTCATTCGACAATGGGTCGATCATCTAAATTCACTACTCGACCAAATAATTATCAGTACAAACTTTTAATACCTATGAGGCCGCAAAACAATTTAGGATGAAATCAACTTTAAACACTCCCGAGGTTAATGAGTAAGAAACTTCGGGAAAAAGAGAATTCCTCACATCGAATTGTCGTTATTTCACATTTCTGTCAGTGTCTGTTGGCAAAATAATTATCTAGTTGACAATTCATTGAGGAATCGATCAGTCTATTCAGTGAAGTATTTTCTTCATCCTACACGAGATACATGTGAATCGGTGGTTAACCAAGCGTCAATGGTTGGACTTATCTAAAGAACAGAGCTCAAAACTAAACGTCAGTCAACACAATACAGAACAATCATTCTTTATTGCTTGAATATCTAGGCTACCTGTTCCTTCGATCTAGATATTTCTTCAAGTTATCTGTTTTGTTGTTTGTTTTAGCACGTCAATATGTCTATTGTGCTCACAATCTATTCGGGCGCGTTTATGAAAAGTTTACAACCTTTCGCTATACGGGACACCGAAAGGTACAATCAGCGACATCATGGTGGCTGGCAATATGCAATGAAACGAATGAACATTAATCAATCGTGGATAACCGAATCCCTAACATCTAACTGGTCACCATTCGAAATTTATCGTCATAATCGATCAAGATATAAGAAAAAGAAACTTGTTGAAATACTTTATGCTGAGAATTCTATGTTGTACCAAAAGTATAATGTTGAATAAAGCTTCTTATAATAATAACAATAATAACATATATGAGGAGGTGATAGGTGTGATAATGATGAGCTTGGAAACTGTCAGATAATAGCTGATGATTTGAGTGAAACATGTAACATGGCTCGTACTAGTGAGAGGACTGTCGTAGAGACAAGGAACACCAAAATGAGAACGCTGAAATGATGATGCAGTAGTTCGTCATTGATTATCAGACGGTTGATGGTTTGATGGATTGGATCCGACTAGAAACATACATGGAGAAAAACGAAGACCGTCAATGAGTATCACGTGATGTGCTTCATGTAAACGTGTAAAGAAATCGTGTTTTTACGGAACTGAGCACGGTGAGTGAGATTATATGAGATTATGAGATCAGTATTAATAATTACATTATGTGTTCTGCAAACGTGCCATCTTCTCTCACTGGTTAAAATCATGTAAATTTCAGTGTATATATAACAGTGTTGGAAAGATTGTGTGCTCAGTTATCACAATACATCAGCAGATTTGAATTGATGATGAGAGTACAGTGAGTTGAGGTCTTGTTTTTATTGCCTGTTTGACAATTACTGTTATCTACGAATCAGGTAAGAGTGATAAACCATTCTTTATTTTTGGAATGAGGAGCTAGTCGTTTCTTTTCTCAATCACGTTTTTTCATTTATTGACTTTGTTCTTCACTTGATTCAGTGCTTGACCGAATAAATCTTTTATATGGGTTAAATGAGACACATATATTTGCCAATAGGGTGACGTGTTTGCTTAGTGTTCTGTTGTGGGATGTCCTTGCCGGTACACAAACTACTTCATCAACCATTCAGTAGTCAAGAACGAAGTGGCGAATAGCCCTGTGTTAGTGTAACGGAATTATGATTTACCGATATATCTGGTTGAATTAAAAGTTAGCAACATCTCACGGATTGTGGAAAAGGTTTCCGACAGATTCTCGCAAAACGATTATTTTCTATTTTAATCGAGAGCACGATCCAGTCTGATTTCAATGAGTTTCGACGTTAAACTAATCATACTACGAAGAAATGGTTCGTCAAACGTTTATTAGTCATAAAACTCCTAATGAAACCATTCATATTGCTTCGGACTAGATGATCGTTTCGCATAACGAACATAGTACACACTGGTATTGTATATAACTGCCGAGCTCACACAATAAACAGTTGGACTGAAAATCACTGATAAATGTGATGTTAGCTTCACATGATAGTTAAAATAATGTGTTTGATGTATATGGTCATGAGAGCTGAGCTGAGCTGAATTCGAGTCTGTGATAGAAGTGTATTCAACTGACAAGTTCCAAATAAGACGAAACGCTCGCCTTGGATTCCACGTCCTTCATCATCAATCTCTGCATATAAAGTGTACTTGATTTCGTTAACATGAGAACGCAATGATCTATTCCCCTTAACAAAGTACTGGGACGAGATATATTAAAAGTTATGCTAGAAATATTGATTCTCTAAACTGTTGATTGCAATCTGGTATGTAAGATTTATTCATCAACAATCTGTCGAGTGAACGATCTCCCGTAATCAAGTTTCGTACAAAAATATTCCAGTCAATAAGCGGTTTTCACTGTCTTCGTATTTTTCAAAAATGTGTTTTGCACTTCATCGACCATGTTAATTGTCTATTGTTTGCAGGTCACTGTGTTTCCTTGTGTCAACACTTGTTATCATCCTACATGTAGGATACGGTCAAGTCAACTTTGAATACTACCTGTTTGCTGTGACTTGGCCACCATCGTATTATCTGGCGCAAAAAGTAATAAAACTTTCGTTTACTTGAAATGTTATCCTTTAACATGAACTTGAATCTATCGATTCACGTTTCACAGATGAATTTTATTGATTAATATACAATGAAATCAATCTGTACGATTCTCTTCCGTTCGTGGATATGGACCAGAGTCATTCGCTGATCGAGTACTGATCATTGTGATATTCATTGACAGGTTACGCTCACATTGTAGAGGTAATACTTTATTTCACCAAACATGGGGATTCTAACTGTATATTGATTGGATTGAATCAGGACAATTAGGCACATCACTGCCAAAGATTGCTTGAAACTGAACACAATGACATTTCCAGTGTTTAGGTCTGTCAGCTTGGGTATGGGTTATTTCGAGTGTATATCAAGGATCAGCTTTTGAAGGCAAATGGCCGAAGCAACTTATTTCACTTTGAAAAATTATCTAGTCACTTGAATCGCATTTGATAAGCTTCAACACATATTATATTCACATACATCGTTGTTCAACTGAGTAATAATTATTTGAAATTCTTCCTTTTAGAGTGCTCCACCGAAAGAATTAGATGGTTTTACTATTCATGGAATGTGGTAAGATTACATCTAATTTATGAAATATGTGCTTTGTAATGTTGTCGAATATACACAAGCAATGTCATGGATAATCATTGGGCACTATGTCTGTAAACTTCCGACCTGCTATGTTAGATCCAATGACCATTAGTACGATTTTATAATAAGAGCTTATCCGAAATGCCTACAGGTTTCAACATTACATTGTTGTACACTCATGTCAAACAGCATTCTTGAAAACATTGAACTTATTATTTATGAAATAGTGTTGAATGATGAGGTGATTGCCTAGCATTGACTTGTCGTTTTCAGCGCGTCCGTGCGACGGAGTAAATTTAAATTGTGGAGCTCATCGATCAGCATCAAATTACTATTGGTCTCAGTTCCACTGTTTCACTAAGGAACAGTAAGTTTTCTGACCACCGTAACAACAATAATGCATGCTGTGAATCAATATAATGGCGTTGAATAGATTTAAGTGGGCACACTCATATACGCTTTGCAACTACTATGATTTAATTATTCCGAATGATACACACATTTTACACTGAAATTATAGCTGTTTATTGATAAATATAAGCAATCAAATTTCCAAAATATACAACTCAGTGAATGGATGTAAATATTTGGTTAACTGTAATGTATTTTGTATATCATTTTTTAAGGCCCAAAATTGCACGTCATAAAAATCCAAAGTGTAAATCGAAAGAACAATTTGATATAGCACAATTGCAGGTTAGTCAGATATAAATTTCAGCCATTTTTAATCATATTCACACTATCTCATTTTAATTAACTTATCGAATGTCAAGCAAACCACTGGATTTGTATCAGCCACTGCTTGGTAGTGATTGAGCTAATTGCTATTTTCTATAAGCAGATAATGCTAAAGTTTGATCGATTTTTGATCCTCGAGCGATGTTCATCACCGGATGGGAATAAACGTGGAATTTTACAATGATGCTGCGAACAAAAGTGTTTAATTTCGCTTGTTCGTAGCAGATTTTCCGATGCAATAAGTCACTAAGGCCATTCTTTAAATTTATTCTCTCATTCTATTTCAGGGACTACTAAGCGATCTAAAAAAACTGTGGCCATTTTTGAAAAATTACAGCTATCCAGCTGTATTTTGGTAAGAGATCTGATAATATTTCATTAACCGAATATTTCTTCCGGGGATTAAACAACGTTCTCTGTCGATTAAACGATATAGTTTTCTGGTCATGATCCCCAATGTAACTGGCAATTGAACCACACTCCGTAAACGCAAACATCATTGAGCAGATGAGAACGTTTGATAGTTACTAAGTTGAAGTGGTTTTGTGTAAAGAAGCCATGCAGTGATGATATTTTGGCTCGGAAAATGAACTTCAGATGAAGATGTGTGTTCTGTCGAAAGCAGAATGATCTGCAAATGGAAATCAACCCTCGACGATATGCTTTGTTGACTGATGAATGTGACAGAATTGACAAAGACTTCCTGTATTGTTTCATTGAATTGACGTTGTTAGAAGCCATCGTGTTGTCACTCATATTTCCGATTTGTCGTCGAACAAATTTCAATTATGTATAAGTCTTGTGAGTAAAACATCACAGAAAAATCAACATAAAAATGATAAGGCACTTTATGCTGAATCTTCAACTTTCAGATGTTTCAAACTAGGGGTCTTTCAACAAACAATAAACTCATGATGTTCGTTTTCGAAGACAGTTTAGGCCATTATCGTGTACTTTTCAAATTACATTTGGTTACTTTATGAAATATTTTCAACTGTGTCCACTTATAGGAAATATGAATTTGACATACATGGCAGGTGTGCACTACAGGACCCTCTAATCGGTAATCAATATCGGTACTTCAAATTTGGTATTGACGAGATGAAAAAACTGAAACTACTGGAGTAAGTGATCCATGTTGTAATAAATTTATGATAACATATAGTTAGCCATATTGATCGTCCTCATATTCGTGATCGACTTGTGAAACAAACTAATCATACTGACTATGAACAGATGTGTTATGTCCTATAAGTGGGATTGAGGACGCCCATTTTCGACTGAAATGAGGCTCTTCAGTTGTTTTCAGTAATACGACTGAGAAGAGCATATAATTTGATCATGCGTATCGGTTGATTAAACAACCGATGTCTGATGAGTAAAAACCGGATGTCTAATGTTACTGTGTAAGTGAATACTTGTTAAATTAGCCAATTACATCTTATATCTTTGTTTATATTTGTTTTCTATTATTTTAGTAATCTGAAAAAACATGGTATCACACCGCATGCTTCCATGAAATATGATGTAAGTCTTAGAGAATAAATCAATTTTCATGACTGCACCATCATATATGCTCGATAAAATAATGGTTGGGATCTAACCCAGTTCAAACGTCGGTCACATCTATAATTATGCATGATCAGAAAGAGTGTGAACTCATTTAAAAGGAACATTTCATTGAACAATCAACCGTGTTACCGTTTGTTGTTAAATAACGAATTTCCATTGAATTTGAGGGGGATATTTTAACATAATTGGCCGACTCCAAGAGATACCTACTAACTATTCAAAGTGATGCGAATGTTGTACGAAATCTGTCAGTGTGATCACTGATACTAAACTAGTGTGATGGCTTCATGAACCGAATGTCGACGTCAGTTAGAACTGACAAAACAAGGATTAAGAACTTCAATGGTTAACAGGCAAGAACAGTAAATGTTTTGCTACTCTAGATAAACGACTATTATTTCACGAAACAAGGTACACTTGGATAATCACATATCCAACACAGTGAAAGGTACGTGAATCCGTTCACATCAGAATTGAGATTTTGTAAGCTGTAGCTTTTTTCAGTAAGAAAACTGTGAGCAAATACTACTACTACCACTATTATTATTATTATTATTATCATTACTAGTAGTAGTGGTTTTCTTTATATGTAGAGGATGGTTTCCCCAGTCTGGTCGCCTCTGTGTGCCTCTACTACTTCACATTTGAAAATATCCACCTCCCTCTTCACTTGTGTCTCATACCTTCATGACTGTATTTGCAACTGTTTGTGACGTTACGTCATTTAATTAACCATCTCCATTACTTTTAAATATTGTTGCAAAAGCATTGTAATCATTATATTTCATACATATTAGAAATGAATTTTCGTTCTATTTTTCACAGGCAAGCGATTTTCAGAACGTACTGAAGAAAGAATACGGTCACCATGGTTTCTTGAAGTGCACCAATGTAATCGGACAGGTGAGTGTATCAGTAATCAGTAATCGATTCCTTTACGAATGTAAAAATAAAACACGTTTTTTTATCGTACCATTCGACTTTCCAGAATGTTATATAACTGGTAAACGGTATTTCAGCAAACTGTTAATAAGAATGTAGTTAGACAATAAGTGAAGTTGAAAGCATATTGTAACTGATTTGAAGTGAAAATATGAACCAACAAACCTGCCTCGATATTGTCTTAATTCACGAGCTTTATAAGCAGATATTGATTGTGACTAACAGTGGATGCGAACAAATGCAAGTGGAATCAAACTTCACCCCATTGCACAAACAGGTGGCTATCAGGATTCAGTAACTAGGTGGATAACGTGATGGTGATTGGCGCGATAGCTACAAGGTTCGAGTCTTGAAGTGAACATCAACCCAGGGATGCAAGTACGTCCAGCTGAGCAGTCCTAAATAGGATGAAACGTGTGTCCACTACCAGGCAGTATTCATCTTCGCTTATAACAATCAGATATTGCTAAATGCGAACGCGATAATTGTAGTAATCTTACACATTATATGTTTAATAACAATTCGTGGACATTTGTCATTTACGAATTATGCACAACATCTAGTCATAATGAAATGGGTAGACAAACAATCGTTCCGACACATGAAGTTTATAATACACTTATGTTAATTGATACCTTTAGAGCTGAACTTGATTTCGATCATTGTGAAATATTGGCTTAACTCTGCCGTTCTCTCATTTTTCCAGAGTGGAGTGCGTCTCCTGGAAGAGGTGAGGATTTGCTTCAATCTTACACATCATTACGTGGACTGCCATTCCCTCGGCGACTGTCCAAATCAGTTCGTATTCCCTCCATATTGATTACTGCGTAAATTTGTTACAGTTAAACCTATGTTTAATAATAAAGTTGAAACGTGTCTACTGTTTCTGTTATTTCGTATTTCTGAAGCATAATTTAAAAGATATTTGTGTAAGGACAATTATATTGAATTTTTCATAGTAAATCGTGACGATAGACTCTTAATGCATCTTGCAAACAATCGTTGATAAATCCCACAAGTGGTACACATCTAGTTGCAAGATTGTTCACTCGTTAGTCACAGACTGCTATCGGTAAATCGGTGAACTCTTGAAAAGTAGATGTCGTGAAGCACATGGTCAAATTTGTTCACAGATGGTGCGATGGTTCTGTAATTAAAAGTGATTTAAATTCTAGAAATCGTGTCGAAAGTCTTATGAGATACATTTATGTCTTTAGAAGTGAACCACAATAAATGTTCTTATTTGTATCTCTGGATCTCCAATGAAAGGAAATAGACTAAAGCAATAATTGTCTGTAAACTTCGTAGGATAACTAATTATTATTGCTTCCAATGTGTTACCAAGTTTAATAATGAATTTATATATGAGAATTGACGAATCATTTAATTTTAAGGTTTTCAAAAGGTAAATTTTGCCTAAACACCGTTGAATATGGTAAACGCTGTTTTAAAGTGATACGAAAATCCATTAAATTGAGTACGCTATTACAACCATATGATGATCAAATCAGCCTAATAATAATATTCGGTTTTGAAGTCATTTGTTGGCATCATATCATGTTAATCGAATGAGTCTATTCAGATACGGAATTAATTCACAGTGGTTGTTGAAACGAATTCCGAAATGCTTTCTTTCATTATGGGTAGTAATTCCTTCTGGCTATTCATATTTGCTAGATCATAAAACATTGTCTGATTGGATGATTAATTGACATGTTCTGTGTTTGCTTCTCTCCGTCACTTCAAACTCAATTTGGCGTTTATAAAAGCAGACGAATCGAAGACACTGGATTTTCGAATCTAGTACCAAAGATGATAATATAAAAACCTAACACAGAGAAAGAAGTTTCAAGGGACCAGTATTTGTTTCTTTTTATTGCTAGCATCTAAGTGTGATGTGAACTACTGAAATCGGCATCTTGAGCACATAGGCGAACTGAAATAATTAGGAACAGATTTACTACGCAATTGTTTTCGACTTTACATAACACTTAAAATGTTAGGTTTTCTTTTGAAGAAGCTTAGCGTTGGGAAGACACAAACTGTCTATGTTACTAGTAGAGACTCACTGTCATGGAAATGGCAAGATACGAAGCCCACATGTGCTGTCGATCTGACTTAAGTGTTATGTGTTGAAAAATTGAAGTCAGGTAAACATCCAAAATTCAAGGTCTATAATAATATAACATTCAGACACTGGAATATCATCCACTTCAAAATATAATCACAGGTTGCTGCATACGACTTAGAACGGGCATAGGATTAGTCTGGACTTGATACTTCTTACACGATATGTCCATCTCGTTTTATTGATGCTGCAAAAACTACAAGACTATTGAAATGGCTATTCAGACTTGCTACATCATCAAACACTGTATATGATTGTACTCCATTGTCTGGTTGAATGATCAATTGACATGATCTGTGTGGACGCTTGAATGTTTGTTTCTCACCATCACTTCGAACTCAATGTGCTTAAAAGCAGACGAACCAGAATAACTGAATCGATTATAGAGAGTTTCAATAAAATATCTGTGAAACAAGAAGACAAATTATCACCTAATATGGTTTCCATTTGATATTCACATATACATATGTAATTTCGAAAATTTTCAGAGTTTCTTGGCCTATTCTATCAGTCCGAATACTCAAGTTTTACTGTACATAACCTAACTCTGGATCAAAACTTTTGATCGCATTTCGCGCACTCTCTGTAGAATTCCATTAGACGCATGGAATTAGTTGACTGATATCCGAAGCTGCTGGCTAGACATCTAAAACCTGTCGACTGCAAGCCTTATACACATCATCGTGTGAATATTATTCAGAATGCTGAGAGTACTCAACAAAATACTCAGTAAAAGTATTTGAAAGAAACCAGTTTTTGATCCGCAACAGACTCTACTTTAGATGAAATGTCGGTCGCATGTCCAGCGATTGATTGAGGGACAAACTCTCAAGAGCTTAATCAATAAAGCGATGCTGATCCAACAACTCAAGCTTCGTTACCAGCGATTAACATGCACATTCATAATAGCGCAAATCGCGATAATAAAATATAGTAATATGGCACGATTACTCATGTGATCGTTGAATGTCAAGGTGTAGTGATGCTCAAGGATTTACTTGTTCGTCGGAAAAACAATACGGTTAACGACAATCAATGTCAGATTACGAGTTTTCATATTATTACAGAGCGATCTAAATTTGAACTGGCCTTCGTTAGTTCTCATAGATGGACGTTATCCGGAGCTGTTGGCTAGACATTTACAACCCATCAGCTGCAAGATTCGTCCATCTCGTTTTAATCCCGCCGTACGAATTAGAAATGTCGAATATTTCGTCCTTGTGGCATAAGTACATTTCCTTCAGGTCATCAGAATACAATGATGTCTTTTCTAAGTTTCCTCAGCTACAGATGCTGTCAACGTATATTACGAATATAAGAGGTCCTGGTACAATCCCCTGAATAACCCCACTAGTTACTCCCTTAAGTGCTGATGTGTTTGAATTCGGTAACAATCATTTAAGAATGATTTACGCCAACATAGTAAAGGGCCATGTAGTTCATATATTTTATGATATATCATGCTGTGTGATACATCGCTGAATGACCTGATTATACCAGACGACTTTGTGCGACCGCCTTTTTAAAAACCACGTTGTGGTTTAGGAATAAGGTAATGAGTTGGAAAACAACCTGAGATACCGTATATTACAGCCTCCATGTGTCATAGAATTGCTAAAATGATATGTATTGATCTGTAGTTAGTAGCGTCACTTCGGTCTTTAGTCTCATACTGTGTGGTAATGTAGCCGTTCATCCAGTTATTCGGATGCACGCCTGGTCTGAGAATATAGCGCATACACCAAAAAGTATGTTAGGTGTATTATCGCCACATAACTAAGGAATATGAGGGTGAAACTGTCGGTTCATATACTTGTTGTAGTTGTACGACATTTTATAGCTTGACATATAGTCTTAGCATTGAACGATACGCCTGTGAATTTACTGGATGTAAGAGTTGTAATCTCTTGGTCAACAGATTGCTCATCATTAAATGCTGGTAGAGTGTTACTAAGTATTCTACATATTATAATGTTTATTTTTCGTTCATCGATCACCTCGATAATCGTTATTATAATAATATCGAAGGTGTTTGAAATCAGAAGTCAACAATTCAATTAGAATCGGTCATGTGATCTAATGATGATAACAGTACAAAGAAAGAGATAAATTGATACTATTCAAATAACACTGTATTTTAAGTAAGTTAATCAATGAGCTCAACCAAGATTACCCGATATTGAAATCCTTAATTGGATAGATGCTCTACTATTTTTCCTGAGTAGGTTTACATCATGTTCTGCCGGATGAGTAATGCATGCATTTATTTGTAAGTTATGTTAGACCACTTATGACAGAGCTACATCCAGGGGCGGGAACATTCCTTTTTCTTTTATTCTCAACACGTCTATTCTACATTTCTACTGAATATACTATATGACAGTAATATATAACAAACACCAGAAGCCATAGGTATACATAACATCAATATTCAGATTTTAAATTAAAATTGGATTTCTTCCTAGATATCGTTACATGGTTGAAAACCTTTCTTTCGGATGCTTCCGACTTTTCATAATTTTGGTTAGAACTAACACAATTACCGAATATTGCATTACAAAATGAACTCATCACATTTTTGTTCCCTCTTTCGTTAATGTAACATTTATACAGACAAAGATTGATAGTAGAATCGACGACTTACATTTTGCCCTATTTGTGACTTATAAGCTGGAAATACTTGCATCCCAGAGCTGATGTTTATTCCAGGACTTGAACCTTGTTTCTTTCGCGTCAAATGCCATCACGTTATACACTTAGCTACTAAGTCCTGATAACCACCTGTTTGAACATTGGAGTGAAGTTTAAATTCACTTGGTATTGCTTACTTCAATCTTTTCATTGTTGTTTAGGACTATAATCAGTCAGTCTTTCATCGGCATAGGTGCATACTCTGCGGACTGCTTCGATTTGGCCTCAATTTACAAGCATTTTAAGTAAAAAGACGAAACTTGAGTCCTCCATCCTACTAACTGCCACTATACATCTTTCGCTAGAATTCCCCATCTATGTTGTCAGGTCATTTGAACTGTCATCTTATTTCTTTCTATCGCTCATTGCGTAAGGTCCTTTAAGTTCCCACGTTTTACATGAACTAAATTTACTTTAACTCCGCATCTTTTAGAGGTATTGCGGTCCCAAATCTGAGTGAGGGTGGAGGGTTGCGAAATTGGTCAATAACTCAATTCCGTAGAAAGAAGTCTTGTTAAGAAAATGCCAATCAGAATAGACGAATTAAATGAGTGAATTTGCGTTGTTCTAGTTCATAATTAACAATGGCTGCAAGCATATTAATTCACTCTTCTTTTTGATTGTTTTTCTTTCACTGACTGGGATTGTGTATTGAAGTACTTTCCTGTGTTCTAACGAAATCAAACATTTCCTTATGAACAATCTGTAGGTGATCTATCCAGAAAAAAGATAGAGTAACATTTATTTTTCACACTTTGTAATTCCACACATCATTCATCAACTTGTCTTTTTAATGTCATTTTTATCTGACTACAGATTGAATGATTGAGCGGTAATATGGCCAACATGTATAGCATTGGGCTATGTGCTTCGTTGGATGCTACTGGATGATCAATAGGAAACCGTTTCAGCAATTTCAGTCATGAAGATGTCAACACAAACACACTCTTCAAGCATCAAGCATTTGTCAATGTCGCGCAACGAATCTCGACAATAGTAAATTTGATTTATGTCGCACTCCGAAACAGTAGACAGATAACTGCTATTAACATAGTTGACTT